CACCTTCACAAGCTACTACTGTCGACCCCTGCCTGCCACAGCCGAATACAACTTGGAATGAAACTAGCCTCGACGATGTCCACCACGAAGCAAGGGTAGTCCAGCCAAAGCTACTGATGCTGTCATCCACCCCCGAACCTCCCTACAGATTCCGACGAGCTACCTCCACCTAAAATAAAACGCGTGTGCCAACAGCTCAGCCAGAAGGATGACGGAGTGAGACTCAGTCATGACTCAGGCTGAGTCCATCCATGCCGTATCTCTTACACACACATGTTGTTGAGCCACATACTTACACATACTCAAGGGCCGTGGCATTCTGGAACAGCTCTACCGGCAGAGTGGTCAGATCGTTCCAGCTCAGATTTCTGTGGCATAATGGGCGAAAGATCAACACGCGTCAAACCGAACGGGGTTGACTGGTCAGCCCTTCACCTTCACAATCGACGCTCGAGGAATGCGTGGAGAAACGGAGAAAAAAAAAATGACCATCGGGCAACGACTGACTTTCATGTCGACGGAGCCACACGAGACCGATCAAAATAAGAGCGAGGACGATAGGGCACGAACGTCAAACCGCCCTAGGTTTTCTTGCAGCACTCCAACACATCCAAGAACACTACGTGTGCCTCGATGATTGTCGTGGACGCTGCTATCTCTTCCAACACTCTAGCGGACACGTGGTGATTTCGACGACTTCGCACTGCACGGAGAACCCTGCTTAGCCAAGTTTCAACTGGATGTAGGACTTGTGCAGAAGAAAGTTCATGGATGCAGACAGCATGACTTGGGCTGGGCTCATGCGGGTCATACCCCACACAAAACAAATGTTCCTTATTAAGCCACACACTTACATCCACCGAAGGGCCGTGAGATCCTGAAGGATACCGTCCGGCAAGGTGGTTATATCGTTGTCCCCTATATACCTTCGACAAGCGGAGCAGAAGCGACAAAGCGGCACCTGTTGTCACTACTTGGTGTCTGCAATGTGGCTCGTCCATCCCACCACCATATAGAATCGACACTACTTTGGGCATTTCGTGGAGGCATGGAGTCTATGATGACGACGGCACATTTGCTGTCCTTTGCACTTAGACATTATAAATCAACCACAAGCGAGGGCGACACGGCAAGATCTCCCACTAGTCCCAGGTGTGTCTAACAAACCCCCGGCCATTTTCGAACACGACAACGAGCGACGATGATCGCCACGAAGCCACTGTGATGTTCTTGACACTACCAGCTCCTCCAACCTCTAAATCGCCTGCAGCTTTCGAACGCCTACTACAATGTACACCGCACGCAAAAAACATGAACGGCGACAGCTCGCCCAGGTCTCAGCCGGATACTGCTCGACTCGAGGAAAGTCGTGGGCACAGTCATGACTCAGGCTGGGTCCATGATGGCGACACCCAACCCATGTACGTGTTGCAAAGCCAAAAACTTACAGAAGTTCCATGGCCGTCATATGCTGGATCCCATCCGGCAGGATGGTCAGCCTATTGTACTTCAGGTTCCTTTTGACAAGTGGAGCAGAGGCGACAAGTCAGCAATTTTCACTCCATGTTTCCGTGGTCGAAGACGAGACCACGACCGTTCAACATCGTCAAGAGGGGCAATTCGTGGAGACACGGAGTGTGAAACGTTTGATGATAAGTGTACTAACGCCAGTAATAACTGATATCCGGCTAGCATTGTTGTATTCATATCTAGAGCGACTGGATGGTTCATTCGCTGTTTTTCATGTGACGAGCTTCGTGCCACGCTCTGACGGTCACCGTCGGAACATGATTGGCCGTGTACGGAAGGGTCCTCGATAACTTCCACGACAAAGCAGCCAACTCCTTCCACGACTTCTACCCGTGCAGCTTTCGATAACCTACTATTGTTCACGCAATCCACATGCACCGACCCCCCAGTCACGGCACCCCTGGATACTGTATTGCCCAAGCCATTGACGCAGCCATGACTCAGGCTGAGTCCAGCCTACCGCATCCCACATGCACACATGTCGCAGAAACTCACAAGTAGTAAAGGTTCGTGAGATCCTGAAAGATGCCGTCCGGCAAGGTGGTCAGATCGTTGTCGCTCAGATCCCTTTGGCAAGTGGAGCGGAGGCGACAGGTCAGTAATTTGCACCCCGCACTCGGTCGACAGCAATCATTGACAGCCCATCACCGTACAACATCGACACCCGGGATCGTTCGTGGCGACAGGGAGTTCAAAACGCTTGTGGAACGCAACACCGCCAGTCTGAGTTTAACGTTAACATAGCCTGGCAACGGAATGATCGTGGAGATCGTAAGAAGGGCTTCTAGGAATAACCAGCAACCCGTAGCCATGTGCCTCTGACCACCGCCCCCGAACACGACTTGGTACTGAGGTAGCCTCGACAGTTTCCATGACGAAGCCAGTGTATTCAAAGCTCTGGAAGCTCACAACCAATTCCGCACCCATATACAGCTTCCGACGGCCTACTACCTCACGGACAAGCTCCGTTCAGTCAAACCTTACCCGGAGTGCGAAATAACGCTTAGCTGGCGCAGGCAAAAAACAGGACAAATCCCGTCTGCAACACATGCAGAAGGGCCATCGACACACTCACAGCTGGTCAAGGCCCGCAAGACCCTGGAAGATCCCCACCGGCAGGGTAGTCAGAGCGCTGTGCATAATTCTCCTTTGGCAAGGGAGAAAGAGGCGACAGGCCAGCAAGCTTCATTTGGTGCTTGGTCGGCACTGGTTCATCCAACCACCAACTTCGTGGAGACACGGAGACACACTCAAATGGTTACGAAATAGATATTTAATGTTTGGAATTGACGTTCGGCCTAGTCACTAATGAATAGATGGGGGGCGATGGTTTGGTCAGTCACCCATTTCGCACGTTCGCTTTTCTACCGAACCATTTTTCGACTTGCCATCTTACAGGTGTTTCCCCGTGAACGATATCTCGTTTAAGTCTCGACTGCATAGTGGGTGAGTGAAGACAGTCATGATGGTCGCAACCACAAGTCTGGTGAGTCATCACAAGCAGCCCTGCATCTACAACACGTGTCATACAGCCATCCACACACTCACAATTCTTCAAGAGCAGGGAGATCCTCGAAGATCTCCTCCGGCAGGGTTGTCAGAGAGGCGCTGCCGGTTAGCCACCTTTGGAAAAAGGAGAGCGGAGGCCACAGGTCAGTAAGCTTCACTCCGTACGTAGTCGAAGGCGAACCATGGCCAGCCCACCACCATCCGACGTTTGGGGCTTTTCCGCAGAGACACGGAGTCAAAAGCGTATGGTGTCCAGAAACGTCTCTCCTTGTCAGGTTCAAAATCAGAATGGAACTCACTCGCCAAGGCGGGGCCGACTGTGAATATGCGTTGAATTTGTGCAGAATTCCAACTCTCGGGCCGCGTCCGACCACGATAAGAGCATTCTGGATGAGAGTCCAAAGATGGCATTCCGGCTTCGTGCTTAGACCGGCCCATAGATAAACGTCCGTTTGGGTACATTCCCAAGGAACCTACCAACCAAACACTTCAAGCACGGGATCTAAACACCGCACTTTGCATTCCCAGCGACACCGTCATGATCGCCTTCATCGATAGACTCAACAAAACCTAGGACCCGCGGGTGGATGTGCATCCTCCCAAACGACAGCATGTCAAACATTCTAATTCCTGCTCAAGTCTCAAGGCCTTCCATCACACCGGTGGTGCGCACCAACCGCAGGTACCTGGGGTTCTGAGTTTGGTTTGTTCTCCGCATTCGCCTTCAACAAAATATACTAATATTTGCACAGCTTGTTTCTAGTGGGGTGCAACAGCGGGAGAAAGAATATCCTCAAAAACTCGGAAAGTATCCCTGAGGTAAGACGAATTTTGTGTGCGGTACCCCCCGTACGAAAGACGGCGCGCCTGCATGCAACAACAGTAGGAGAGACGACTCGAATGACACACGACGACATGCGGAATACGAACCGCCGTGCCATGCTGCCGCCTACACACTCACAGGGTTTGCATTGAATCACGTCCGAATGCGTCGAAGCATGATGCCAAATGCCCTTCTTCGACGTCTTCGTCAGATATGTCGCAGAAATAGAGGATTCTGTAATTCATGCGAGACGTGATCGTGCGTGCTTGATTAGCGGGAAAGAGCCGACACCGCATCCATTTTAAAGCGGTTGATTTCTCCTCGAATAACCGATATCGGAAAAGAGGCAAGAGCCCACGGGACGAGCTAGGAGTAACAAACAACCGAGCCATCCAGCGCCTGGCATACAGCCAAACCAAACCGGGTGCTTTGTCAGCCTTGATCAACCTATTGACGACCCGATAGGCCGCATGAAGATCCTCATGGACATGGCCAGCAACCAAAGGGCATTGTCCTGAACTCACAAAGATGTAGAAGTACTTTCCAGGCATTCGTAACTTCCGGTGTCGTCTTCAGGGTCAAGGCACGGGCTCACTGCCACCGAACGAGCGAAATCCGTAGGCAGGGAACGTGGGGTCATCAGCAGTGCACGAGACAGGCTCGTTTTTTGTTGGTACCGCTCAGCTGGAATTGGCCGCTTTCGAATCGACACTTATTGCGCGATGAAAGAAGCTTCACCAGAGAACCGCCGAGCCAAGATTTCGCAACATGACGTCCAAAAAAGCCCCGGCATCCTTACATAGTTCCTAACCCATGCCATTTTTGTCTCGACGCAAGACCTTCCTAAACGGAAACCAAGCACACTGAGGCCAGGCGTCTGCGAGGCCACGGCTAGGGTTGACATTTCTCGAATAAGTGAACCCGAAGTTCCGAGAAATGATCGGGTTCCCGCCAACATCAAGGGCGCCCACTTCTTCATGCGAATTACTTGAAAATGCAGTGATTTGCTGATAGCGCAGCAGCGTGTAATGGTAGTTGACCCCTTCCTTCAGAATCAACCACCTTTGTGCTGTGTGGACTCTCTTGTCCGACCACAGGAGCAGGTTCTTGTTGCCTTCCGTTGTTCTCTTCTCTTGATTAACGCTCACCACGCGAACTCACAATATCCCACCCACACACAATCATGGACCGTCTGCACGCACACACTGAACAGAAGGGCACATGCCTCGGCATAAAGCCCTTATGTAGCATGACGTCACGTCTTAGCATCCGACGGCGCCAAATAACCATGGTCAACCACGATGTGCACGCACACACTGTATCCCGGTCGCCCCGGTGGAATACTAGTGGGTAGCCTCGCAGCCTGCTAAGGGCCAGGTCATGGGTTCGAGTCCAGGCAGAGTGAGTTTTTTTCTCACTAAATATATCCTGGTCTCGGATGAAAGCGACGCGCTGCAAAGCTCGTTGTTAGTAAACCATAATCGACTTCGTAAGTCGCGAGGGAAGGGATTGCTGTACCCTTCTCGCGATAAAAATACCTCAGGCAGGAACCGCAAGAGGTGGTCCAACCCCCCCCTCCTATGTGACCCCGGTTGGGTCGTCTAGCTATTAGTAGAAGCGGAGGATAGGGGCCAGAGGGGCAGACGACAGAGTCCAATGATGGGCAAAAAGAAAACTGAACAGAAGGGCACATGCCTCGGCATAAAGCCCTGATCTAGCATGACGTCACGTCTTAGCATCCGACGGCGCCAAATAACCATGGTCAACCACGATCAAATGTCTACCTCCAAATTCTGCTAACCCTTGGGGTCCATTTTATTTTGGTATACCTTTTCTAGGTACTTTAGCCTGTGACCACGGAAATTGACCGAGTCAAGTGCTGGATTAGTACGGAGAGATTGAGACAGAAGGAGGTACTGGATAGAGAGACCGGGATGGATTTTAACGTGAAGACAACAACAACAACAAATACCACAACAAGCGGCTCCAGCGCATGGGATATAGATCTGTGTCGTGTGTGCGTATCAAAACCCTCAAGAGCAACGGAATGCAAAACAAGTCGTCGATGTAGCGGGTGTGCATTCATCTGCACGTCAACCACCGGTATTGTAGAGATCGCTCAACCACGTAGCATATCTCGGTTTCATACTTTCACCGCCGTCAGAGCAAGCAAGAAATGGTACGACAGAACAGCAGCACTGTGGTGTTTAATGTAGCAAACTGCGCAGTTCTGACACAACCGATAAAAACGGGGGTCGAAGAACGAGGGTAGACAGAAGGGAACGCAGAAATAGGCGGGGTTGTTCTTACGGTGAGGCAGTCGTCGAGGTCCTGTCTTTCAAGTTTCAATCAACAGCGTGTTTGTTGTTTGATCTACTCTTACCTCGACGAAAGTCCGCCAAGGCTTGTTGGACAGGTCCTGAACAGCCGTGAAGTCACACTCTGCTCAGGATGCAGGACCAATACCAGTTTTTTTTCATCAGACCAGTAATGATGCATCGTCGTGGAAAAACAAACTGGACTAGACTAGACTATATAGGGAGAAGGAAAATCATCATCAGGGGAGAGTGATTTCGCCGCCGTGGCGAGACAACAACCAAACGTATTCCCCAGTGATGGTTCACACCCACCAGCGGAAACCCCCAGTAACCTAGCCAGAGTAAGTTCCACCAACAGAGCGCCCAATATGAAGCCCATGCTCAACAGAGATCACGCCTGCCAGAAGTCCTGAAGTTTAGCATTTGGGAGTGGAGAGCGGTGGTGTCAAGAACTTGTCGACTGGATATGTGATGCACGGATGTATGTAGGGTCAGTCACACTTGGAGACATTTGATAGCATGCTGCAATAGGAACGCTACTGCTGTGGCTTGCAATCCCAAGTGGCTTGCGCAGCGTTGAGAGCATTTTGCTGGCGACCAATAGTCTAGAAGAGATCGCGCGCGTCAAGGCTTAGGTTGGGAGAACAGCAGTTGTTGACACCAACACTGCAAACAACACACAGAAAAGGCAATCAGCAGCAGACACATTCCGCACAGAATCGTATCATCAGCTACGACTGTGTGATTTCGTCCTTACCCATCAAGGCATCCTCCGATCAGCTACAACCATGCCATCACGGCGTACTCTGAAAGGATGAGATATCCTAGGTGAGCTGCGACGGGTAGCGTACGGCGGGAAAATACATTGAGACATCGCGGAAGGATGAACACAAGAACTTCGGGGCATTCTCACGATATTTGTCTGTACACCGCTTGCGCATCATTGCGCCGTCTGAACGTACTCATTGCATGCCGAATTAACGTTGCTTGGACAGCGAATTTTGGATTCCGTTTAGAGGAGGTTCAATCCGGGTCTCCCACACTCTTCCAGTTTTGTTCAAACCGCCCATCCATGTGAAGTATATCTCACCCAAGCGAGTGTATCTGCTAAAAAACCTAGCCCTTCAACCGGATCTTGTGTATCTGCTAAAAAACTTAACCCGAACCCAAACCCTAACGCTACCCCCAAGCCCACACGATACGTGCTAGGTTTGCGCTGGGGGTGGCTAAGTTGAAGGTTGACGTGCAGGTGGCAAAGTTCAACATAGATTGATACGCCGGTGGCGAAATTCAATGCAGGTTGAAGTGGTCACGGTGGGCACTTCGTGGGCACTTCGTGGGCTGCCCATTGGACCACCTATCGGCAGCTCATGGGCAGCCCATGGGAGGCCCATGGGAGGCCCATGGGTGCCCCATGGGTGCCCCTTGGGTGTCCCTTCGACGGTTTAGCGAAACTGCCAGTAGTTTGTGGCTACGGACTTGGGACAACGAACTTTCGAAAAATCGTCCGAAACAGGTTCATGAAATTCGTAGAGGACACACGCGCGGTTGCACACGGTACAGCGAGTGCCGGGAGTTTAATTGCGATTGCGCCATGTGTGAGAAATTTTCAAAATATGGGAGACAAAACACGCATGCGTCGTCACGTGATACCACCACGGTGATAATTGACTCTGAGCTGAGCGTATCGGGAACGCGGGCTTGATCAACATCCGACCGGGCTGCACACACACGCCGCGCAGCAACTTGATTTAAGAAACGCCGCCAGCTATCACATCGTATCCGCCTGCCGCTACTACTCCTGCTGTGCCTATAGCCAGGTCCTGCGCGAACGTTCGCAAGCCATCGTCCCTCCCTGTGGGCGTCGGTGCCCACAGTAGCTCGCACCCGTGCTGTCTCAAGGCACTCTCCCGTTCAACAGAGAGTGCCACACTGCTGATGAACATGAAAGAAACCCACTGCCGGTGCGGTGCATTGATTGTGCCCCACCGACCCAATAGAACGTGCGAGAAATGAATCTTAAATCTTCCACAACATCAACGGCGTACCTGATACCTGAAAGGAATTGATCGCCGGAAAAGGAAACGGCACACAGGAGCTACCCCCTCGGCCACCACACACGTTCAGTTGCTCGCACCGGCTGATAACAACGAAGCAAGCGACGGAAAACAGGAAGCAAACAGCAGCCTACTGATTGGCCAACGATTTTCTTCTGCCGCACCTCTCGAAACGCAGATCTTTCCGCGGTCGATCTTTGCTTTGTCTCACGAGAACGCATACCAACCCCGGTGTGTGATCTGCTGTAGAGAGCGGAGCCTAAGCAACGAACCGCTGTGTCGATAAAAAGGACAGAGTGCAGCCTTACACTGCGGTTCCGTAAACTGCGAAGGTGAGTTTTACAAGTGGCCCTCCGACGCGGTGCCCAGTTTGCCAGATCAAATGTGGGACGCACAAAATAAGATGGCCTGCTTGCCCCTGCCTGCTTCGAATACATGCCCTTTTCGAGACGAGGTGTCCAAGCCACAATGGATACCAATCGTCGCAATTATTTGTCCCGCAGAGCTTTTCGACCGCTTCCTGTCGCTCGTCTTCCGCGCGGTATTCACTCAAGGGCATGAAGCACATGGATGGACTACAACAGGGTGACAGCCCGTCCCCCCACGGCCCCGATGGCTTTCGTGGTGGACGCGAAGATCATGTACTTCACGTTATTTTATACTCACAGGTGGTCGTCATATCGGTATATCAAGCGCGTGCAACCGATTTTTTTTCAACACAAAAAAAAACAATATCCTGTTTCCGCAAGCAGGCGTATTGTGCGTCCTCTCCTCGAGGTCCGTGTTGAGCTGCGATGCAGCGACAATACACTTTTTTCACAGTTGGTAGCCAATCAGGAATTGTCCTGGATCAGACAGAGTCGTACCACGGTATTTTGAAAGTTTTGAATGGTTCAAGGCAGCCTTTCCATCGGTCATCGGCCACATATCATGGGTATACTTGGCCAGAACCTCTCCACACACTCATGACCCTTGAGTGTTAGTCGAAGATCTTGTTTTCGAGCCAGCCCAACTATTTACAAAAAAAAATGCAAACACAGAAAGACCAGACTCTACAACCCGTTCGACATAAAACCACAAGTAGTCGAACGGGGTTGGTTGATGATCCTTTTCGAATTATGCACGCAGAAATCGCTGACAACTAGATTTAGCCTTCGTCCTGCTCGCAAACGGCTTGCCAAAACACAAGATTCTGCTTTTGGGGAGGGGGGAGTGTTTCTCGCTCGTCCCCTGCGCATTGGCACGGGGAGTTGACTACTTTGTTCTCCGTCCCGACATCACTGAAACTCATATCTTTGCTGAAAACAGATACAGAGGAACCGGACAACAACTAGGTGAAGGACGGCGTGACGGAAACGACAGCGAACGTACAAAACGCACGCAGTGACCGGCGCAAGCAATGAACAGAGAACGTGGAGAAACAATGGACAAGGGAAAACGAGAGGTTGGCTCATCCCGCACGAAACAACCCCCAAAAAACGTCGCAAAATGAACATGAGGGACGTCGGGGAGACCGACTGAGCGCGCCTTCTATTCGGCTCAAGGACACACCCTACATGCATTTATTTGTAGACGGGCTAAAAAAATACTTCCAGAATTGACAACACCCGCCGTGTTGACAGGCTGCACCGCGACCATAGCACGCACGCGTTTGTTTGGCGCTTGCGGCATCGCGAAGGTAACAGGAAGCAAGGTAGCGGCGGTCCACGCGCATGAAGCTGGATGACAACAAGAGGAGCTATGACCATGCGAAGCTGCTCAGCCCTCCGCCAAACCAAAAACATGCTGAAATTGTTTAGTGCGCGTGCGGCGCGTCTCTCGCATCTCCTTTCGATCCACCCAGCGGGAAGGACAATTTTTTCCCAGCCTCAAGTCGACAGAAGTTCGCCACATGAACCCCCACAAATGTTGTTGCGGTCACATAAAAAACCGTTCCGGTCTCTCCTCAGTACTGCACCTTCTAACGTCCGTACCGATGCAAGTGACGCGAACTCCTCCCGTCGTCACAGGCCAAATACCAAAAAGAAGGTATCAACATCTTTACAACATACAGATGTAACGGCTGTATCCTCCTGTCTCACACCATACTCTACCCAGCACAACACTCCATGTAGGTGCTATCGAAGTCGTCTACATTATGACCGGTGCCGTTGGCGCTTCACGAACCCTAACGCCGTTCCCCTGCAGGATTCCGAGATAACGACGTGTAATGCGCACCCGACCCTTAACACCCGACCCGCTTCAAATGCCATGGAGTATCGCCAATCACGGCCGCTGTCCTTGCAGCTTTGCAGCTCGCGTCGACCAATAGAGCTTTGACCGTGCCGCACTGCCAGCAAACGCAGCGGCAGCACATGCAAGTTCTTCCCACGCTAGTCTCCGTCCTCGCTCAAACCTCAAATCGCCTGCAGACAGGAAAGCATCACAGGAAGAGGTGCGGGGGGGAGGGGCACGGTTGGTGCTTGACGCTGGTACACTAATGAATCACGGCGTTCTTAGACGACGCAAAACACGGCGTGCATAACCCTACTGGAGTTACGTCAAGTTGCCATTCACACGAACTCTCCGTGCTGAATCTTACACACCTAGTACCCGAGCGTTTGCGCGGGGGCCGTGAGGCTTATTCGGACGTGACGTATTTCCAAATAAATACCAGCAAGTTCAGTTATAGGCCTTGCGTGTGGTTTTCTGTTCGCCCTGGAGGATTGGCAATGACGACGACGATGGGCGCAGGCAGCGCTTTTGCCCTCCCCGTCGGGAAAGCACCCCCTCCTCGGTGTTTGCCATCGGGGTTGGGTTTTAGTCGCTTGGCAACAACGTTGTAAAACAAGCCAGTTCACATCGTGAACTCGGCAACCACGTTACCGTTGTTTTTTTTTAACTCTGTTTCTTGTTGGCGGTAACCAAAATGGTGGTCGTGCAAGGGGAATGACTCCGTGCAAGGGGGATGATCGCACCACGTTTGTGTTAAAATGGTCAAGCACCCTCGAGGCAGTTACCCGGTGCTCATAACTGTCTCTGGAAGTGAAAGCACCAGACAATAAAGTAAGTCATACGCAGCTGTCATCCGTATAAGGAAGTAAGCACAAGATGCCGAGCACCCTTAGCAGGATGCAGCGCACCCTTCATGCGACTCGCCGAATACCCCACAGCGCTTCGCGCTTGGTGATGTGAGAGCCGCCTAGTCCGGTGCGAACCCGGCGTGCTCCGTCCCGGCTTTGCAGGGGTGCGAGGTCAATCGTCAAACGAGTACGGCATGCACGACTATGAGTACACCCCCCCGTCGGGAAAGCACGCCAACCAAACCAGGGCACACGCGGTAATCGGGCTGTTCCGCGTGGAAGAACCAGCATGCGCGGTCAACAGCGGGTACAGCCTGTACTGAACAGTCCTCGGATAACATGACCTAGGATTCCCGAAATTTGGAGGGCTCTGTCTCCACATATGACCACATGCTACATGGCACGGCACAGAGACGGCTTCGTCATCGCATGCAGCCATGCCACATGTCATAGCATGGAGAGGGCTCCGTCGCCACATGTGCTCATGCCACATCAAGGAGAGGGTTCCGATGTCACATGTGTCCGTGCCGCATGCCACGGCAGAGAGAGGGCTCTGTCGTCACAAGGTTGTCCAAGTCACACCAAAGAGGAGCACACCGCAGTCAACGAGCAAATCGTCACAACGTCGCCATCCCGTGGTACAATCTTCGGGGACGGGCGGACACCAACGTAGGCCTATCCTGAACACCGGGACACAACACGCTACACCAGTTCCTCGCTATGCCATCATTCTCGGGGTGGCCTGAAAACTGGAAACACTCACGATGCGTTCTGGAAACTGGACAGGGAAGACACGGCATCGCTGTGGGTCTGGAACACGAACTTCAATCGCGCCGGAAGCTGCGGCGAAACGCACGGGGGCGCCGTGGGGAATACGGTGTGGGGGTGGGGGTGATCGGTTGGCGTTGACGCTTGGCGCTGTGCTACCGACCAGGTATCTCGTATCGTGCCCGAAAGATAGAACGCTTACGGTGGATACAGCGATATTGTTGGTTACGCAGCATGTACAACTAGGAGGGGCGCAGCAACAACAGCGTGGAGGCAAGCAGAGCGACACCAGCAGACAATTGACAGGAGCGAAACACGAAAAAAAGTAAGAGCAACCGAAACACACAAAAAAAAAAAAATGATACCTGCCGTTCTCTGTATTACCTACCGTTTAAGACCGAGATAACATCCCATATACTCCATGACCACTCCCGTTGGACACTTCTTGCGGGTCAACATGAGCCCAAAACGCAAACATGTCGCTCTCTCTCTTCGTCCACATACCTTGAGGGCCTCTTTAAGCTTCTTCGCGACTGGAACCACCCTCGACTCCTGGCAGGTTTTCGTCCAGAGAGCTATGCGGTGCTGCCCCTTGCGCAAGCTGACGACCAGGCCGCACACCTCCGGATCGGTCTCCGACTTAATTGATACCATGGTGGTGGGGAAGGGGTGTGTTTGGACGCGAGAGAGAGAGGAGAGAGAGGCAGACAGACAGACAGACAGACAGACAGACAGACAGAAAAACAGAGGGAGATAGAGAGAGCGAGACAGAGAGAGTGACCGAGAGAGAGGGAGAGACAGACAGACAGACAGACAGACAGACAGACAGAGAGAAAAACAGAGGGAGATAGAGAGAGCGAGACAGAGAGAGTGACCGAGAGAGAGGGAGAGACAGACAGACAGACAGACAGACAGACAGACAGACAGGCAGAGAGAGAGACAGAGACAGACATACAGACAGACAGAAAGACAAACAGAGGGAGAACACGAGAGAAGCAGAGATGCGGGAGAGGGAAAGACTTCAGCCAGGCAGACATGCATAGAACAACAGAGCGCGGACGGAAATCCAAGCCGAGGATGGTGCAATAAACGCGAACCGTGCGAAAGGATCGCGTACTTTGCTGTTTGATGCCGCATGTCTCCCTCCGTGTAGGCTCTTCAGCGTGAGAGCGAAGCAGCAAACTCGTCGCCACCCCCGCAACCCAACCACGAGGAAGATGACCCTGCTGAACGCATGCATGCTGTCGGCGGCAAAATATGGACTGCGAGGGGACGTTCTGACACGAGTAAATGATCACCAGCCATCGAGGGCAAGGTTGATGCAGAGAAGCCTTTTGGATAAGGTCGGGTGCCCCCGTTGGAGCGGGTATGTGCCAAAGCGCCTCCACCTGCAATATTGCGGGCACTCACACTATTCAATGTGGAAACCATCTTGACTAATCCGGACCATACCGGGCACCCGCCTCATACAACCCGCACAGCAGAGGGCACCCGCCTGCATACCAACAGACAATCTAACCCAACTGTATGCCTCTCGCCAGCGAAGGTCAAACTAACCTGAAACAGCTACGGCAAGAAAAAAAAAGAAGGGAACACAAGCTGAAACAGCTACGGCAAGAAATAAAAAAGAGGAAAAAAGCTGCTTACTGCGCTATATTCATGCATAACCCGTAAATACCGTCCACATCTTATCTACCCCGGGAGAAGAGCCGTGCATGTGCTCGGGATGGAGCGGGGTTTGTCGAAACCTAAAGGCCTCCTCTGTACGCCAAGAACAAAGGCCTTCTATGAATATCCCACCAGCAGCAACCCCCGCGATCCGCTTACCCTCCGTCCATCGCCAATCGTAGTCGGAGTACGTACGATCGTATGTGCAACTTCGAACAAAGTTATATAAGCAAGCACACCTTGTGGGAACACTGGGTGACTGGGTAGGGAACAAAGCTAGCAAGAACATCTTTTAGAATATTGGGTGACCGCGAAGCATGCACACCACTTGGGAACACCAGGTGAGTGGGTGGAGACCAAAACATGCCAGCACACCTTTTGGGAACACTGGTGCCGGTGGGGATGTTCTTTCGGCCTATGGTGTGTGTGGGGGCTCAGCCCGTTCTAAGCCGCCGTCGTCTCTCACCTCTAGCGTCTCCCCGATAGCGGACAGCACCGCATGCAGCCACCACTGGTCCAGCTGCGGCAGGTCTTCCCCCTTCACGGTAAGCACGAATTTACCCCCCTACAGAGACAGCAGAATCAATCCAAAAGCAGCAGTCGAGGGTAAAAAAAAACAAAGAACAAAACTCAAATTGCAAGTTTCTCTGGCATGTATTGTCTGACAGAAATAGCGAGAAAACAACACAGGCGATCTTGTGTACGTTGAGAAAAAAAGACACGTCTACAGTACTGCGAAAACAAACTCGGCTAGAGAGGAGCATTCAAGTATGGTCCGTCCAATACAATTTGTCCAATGACGAGTCCGGCATTTAGGTGCACTTTTCTCTGCACACAAGTGGTTGTTCCGACATCCGAAAGTACCGGCAAACGCCCTGTTTCCAGGCGCATCGATCTACGGAAAGCGATTTTCATTTTTTTGTTCCGCTTCTTCGTTATTTCCAAATATCCCGAATTATTGGCTTGGTTTTTTCTGGGGTGTCTTTTTCTCAGAGCACAATTCTGAGACCGGATTTCGATAGCTCTCGAAAATCCCCAGGTGGGCTTTTTTTCCGATTTGGATTTGAGGGAAAAAAAAAGTTATGGACGAAAAACTAGATCTGGGGTCCCATTCGGCTTGGTGTTTCCTGCGATATTCAACCGTACGATTTTAAAATAGACCGCGGCAATCGATTCCTCTCGAAAATCCCCAGGTGGGTTTTTTTTTCGATTGTCGAAAAAAACTCCCGTTCGCGAGATATTTGTATTTTTGTTTGGCCGACCAGCAAGCGGGGACGAGTTTTCCCCCGTGGCTACGCGAGCCCCCACCCAGCTTGTGCGCAGGGCGCAACCCACCCCCACACGCTCTGCAACGGTGCTCAGCACCCAAATTCGTCATGGGTCGGCGGAATAAGCGCCGCCGCACACCTCAAAGGGGAAGCGGCGGCCAATTCCAGCGCCGTGAGTGCTCTGCGTCAGCTGCCGATCCACCAACCCCCGATGACAGCACCCTCTCTACCATGGAAGTCGATGACGACCAAGACCGCGACGAGGACTATCGCGACGAGAGCACTGGTGCCTCCTCAGGTAGTGGACAGGCCACGCTGTCTTTCGTAGGGTCTGCTGATGCATGCGTCATGTCCGCAGCAGTTCGAACGGCAGAGACTGCTGTGTGTCCAGAGGTTGGGCCGCCTCGGAGTGCGGCGCAACCTCACCGCTCAAAAATCGCCCGGCGCAAGAAGGCAGGGAAGTCGAAGGAGGCGAAAAAGGAAGCAGAGAGGGAGGCGCTAGCGGCCGAGCGGGAGATGAGGTGTAAGGCCATCCTAAGGGCGAACGAGGTCTTCACGGCGTGGAAGAGGGAGCGAGCACTGCGGCCTTTGGTGCTTCGTTCGATATTGCGCGGAGCGTGGGGAGCGTGGAAATTGTCTGTTGAATAATTTCTCCGGTACTCGGACGTGCGCACGCGGGGGATAGCCAGGTGTCCAGTTGGTTTGAGTCCGTGTGTTTGATTTGTGGCGATCATGTGCAAATCATTTTTTAAGAGATTGCGGTTATTGTGGCATGCCTGCCGAATGTTTTTCGGATTACCCTCGGTAGCTAGAGGGCAGCGTTACTTCGTAGTTCGGGCGCTAGTATCTGCCGCGGGTTCATTTTAAACGAAGAGTCGAGTGTTGGTTGTGTCATGTAAAGCAGCAGTATGGTCCATCGTTGATGGGGTGGGTGTTTTGCGTGCCGTCATGGCGAGGAAAGCAGGGCCGTTGCACATTCAGATGTATAGGTTAAAGTGTTGTAGGGGGCTAGGGGGGTATAGGGGGTTCCGTGACATGATATGATGAGGGTATGGGGGGTTAGGGGGCACCGTGGATCATTTTGGGCCGAAAATGTCGAAAAACACCCGAATTAGAAAAACTCACCGGATATCGACGCAACTCGACGCCGCCGTCACGGCCAAAGTTGTTTCAAGTTCCATTCGATTTTTTTCGAAAGTTATTGCACAAACCGTCATTGGACAAATTGTCTTGGATGGACCATACTCTCGACCAATTGTTCAGAAACGTGATGGCGAATCAAATCATTCCGGGTCACTTGTGTTACAAGAGCTGCGCGAAAAAAACGGGATATACTGCTGCTGTGGGAGGTACCGTCAACGGCCTGTTGGTCACATCAACTCATATCCATTCATACCGGCGCGACCTAGTGACGGCAGGACGCACAACCGTTTAATCCTTGCAAATCCAGATACGAAACCCCAGCATATTTCGGGGTACTTAGGTAGTTGCTCCTAACGTTTTTGAAGGCGTATTTGTGTTGTTTTCCATTTTCTGGCGGGTAATGCTTCCGGTTCTAATCTCATCTATGTATTCAGTCGAGACAAGGACGAGAGGGAGCGTTGATGTTCCCCGCGGACCGACAGCGAGGTACGTCCGGAAGAGCGAAACAAGCCTTGCATCACCCCGACCCTGCTAGGGCGGCTTCAATAGATGGGAGGGATAGAAAGAGATAGAGACAGAGAGCGGGCTGGCGAAACAAATTACGCAGGCTAGACTTGCTCCATTCGGCGCACCTGTCGATTTGCCGTGTCCTCCCACATGGGCTTGACACCCTCCTTAAACACGCTGTAATTGCTCTGCACCTGCGGGACCGCAAAAGCACGCACAAAAGCACAACACAAACAACAACACTACATTGACACGCTGCGAGATCTGGAAGAAGGCGCCAGCAGGTCTTGTGCGTGTAGCTTCGCCTCTACTGCTGTAGCGCCGACAGCGCTATCTTGGCGGCCGACCAGAAGGAAAACGAAGTAATTTCATCGGGTACGGACCAACAGCCCCGCGAAGCGTAGAGCGTCAAACCCCATGAAAGCTCAGAAGGCCAAAAGGCGTCCACACAGCCGACAACGAATTTCCAACCGGAAAAAAAAAGCGGCATTAAAAAAAATTATTCACTACATTTGCGAAAGAAACGCAGCCACGCGAAACGCGGGGAAAAAAAACATGCGAGGGGTCCATCCGCGTAGGGTCGTGGCTCCGTCAAAAGGGGTGTCGTATAACAGGGGGATCCGATATGCGAGGGTGGAACCCGATGTATGTAAACTTGCGTGCCCTCATAGTTCAGCAAAAGAGGGGGCTCCGATATATAAAAGGGTCCTTCGTCACACCACCCTCTTATTATTACATCGGGGCCACGACTGTACGTGAAGCAGGCGGCAACACAACTGTAACACACGATGGAAGGACGGAACGGCATCGCGAAACAAGCCTACACATGTACACCGCGAGTCACACAAACACACACACACACACACACACACATATGCGTACGCACCGATAGCATGCTGGGCGGCATGACGTTGTTGAAGAGTGCCCAGAACTCTTGAACGGTCTCGAACGCCAGGATGTGCTTGAGGTTGTCCGCCCAGGTCTCCGTTGCTGCCTTAAGCTTGGCGTTGTCGTACCACAACGACCACCTATTGATCGAACGGCAGCACAGGCAGCGGTAGTAAATAGAGGCATATAGAAAGGGCCGCAGTAGAAAATGGAGGCGTACAGAATGGGCCGACGTAGTAAATAAATAGAGGCATACAGAACGGGCTGCAGCAGTAGACACAAGTATACACAAACGGGCCGCAGTTGTAAATAGAGGCACACAAAATGGGCCGAAGTAGTCAAGAGAGGCACACAGAACAGGCTGCAGTAGCAAATGGAAGCACACAGAAATGGGCCGCAGTAGTAAATAGAAGCCCACAGAATGGGCTGCAGTAGTACATAGAGGCACACAGAACCGGCCGTAGTAGTAAATAGAAGCACACAGAACGGGCCGCAGTAGAAAATGGAGGAGAACAGAATGGGCCGAAATAGAAATAGAGGGGTACAGAGCGGGCCCGGGTTGGAGAAAGGTCAAGATCGGGTCGAGCTCATTTCGTCGCCACTGTCGGGCACAGGTTGCCATACAGAGTTTTGTGGGTTCCACAGCCAATTTGCTATACAGAGTTTTGTAGGATCCACAGCTGGTCCGTGTTTCTTGGATCTGTTTTTCGTGAAAGTTTGAGCCTCTGTTTCTTAACGAACGATTTCTCACACGCGCCGCTTCTGTACCAGCAGCAGCAACAGCAACGGGCATCAGCAAGCAGACCTAGTTCAGCATTAAAAAAAAAACACAAAGCAGGGCCATGTGCATACGTGGTGAGGGCGGATTGCGTTCAACGTAGAGCAGCAAGAGAACGCTGTAGGACCCGCAGCCCGCGTGAGCAGCAGCAGCATCACCAGCACCACCAGAGCCGCACCAGAGGCACCAGACGTCACAACTTCCACAGTGGCGGTGGTGCCGTATATCGCTGTAATATTTCCCTGGCACAAGAGCCCAATCTACAACTCAATGACATATTCAGCGACCTTTCCCCAGAAGTGCGGGTTATTTATTTATTATTTTTATCTCCCATCATTGGACTCTGTCGTCTGACCCTCTGGCCCCTATCACCCACTTCTACCGGCTAGACGACCCAACCGGGGTCACATATGAGGGGGGGCGTGGAACCCCTCCTGCGGTTCCTGCCTGACATATTGTTATCGCGAGAAGGGCACAGCAATCCCTTCCCTCGCGACTTATGAAGTCCATCAAGGTTACTAACAACGAGCTTTGCAGCGCGTCGCTTCCAACGGAGACCAGGATTTAACTACCTAGAAAACATTTCCTCTTCGGGACTCGAACCCATGACCTGATCCTTAGCAGGCTGCGAGGCTACCCACTAGACCACCGGGACGACCGTCAAATAACGCGGTGATTTGTTGCCTGTCACTACCCGACGGTATGTCGGGGTCACGACTTGTCGCAATGTTCAACGCGGTGGTGGAGGGAGGTCGGGGTAACATAGCTGCGGCATTCGTTCGAAGGGGTGTCTCGCGATGCTTGACGCGGGGTGGAAGGCATGTATCGTTGGTGAGTAAGCGGGTGAAGGGAAGCGCGGAAGAATGGAACCCAGACCTCTCTGGCGCACGTCTAGACTTTTGACGAACGAGTGGATCTGAGAGACGTGAACAATAGCAACAACAACAACAACATTAACACACGACCACGGGACCGTGGGGAGGTCGCGTGTACGCGCTCTCGATTCAGTCGGAGAGCTTATGCATGCAGCTATTATTTAGACAAAATCATGGACGTGGAGATGCATGTTCTTTGGTGCCAGTGGGTGACGGCAAACTTTCATCGGTCAAACCGATTTCAATGATCGACAGCAGTCACACGATACTGCTGTACAAAAGACAGGGGAAACACACATTTGCATTCACACACCTGTGTTGCAGGGGATGTCTTGCAACTTCCCCGGTGGCAGTTTCCGTCGCTGTGGCAGCCTCAACCGCCATTGTGCTTGCTTGCACACCGTGAGATTGGGTACCCTGTGCATGGAAGGGTTGGTGTTGGATGGGAGCAGCAGGGGGGGGGGGAATGGCTGCACTTCACCTCCTCTGAGACATGGATCCTCAAATCTTCATGTCCCAAAGGATGTAATCGTAAATTCCAGCGTTATGCCAATAAATATTCTACTGCTCTAGAACGGCGTAGCATGGCGACCATCGAGCTTTTCACCTCTCCACAACAATGGTCAGACATGCTGCAAGCACCCCCTGCCAATCAACACACCTTCAGGAGCTTGAATAGCATAAAATTCATCGCGAAGGCAGAGCACATGAGTACTCTAATATCTTTCATTAAATAAAAGTTACACCTTTAGACAAGTCAGCGCTGACTAGTCTAAAGGTGTAACTTTATGTAATACTGTCTATGTACTTTGCGAGGGGGAGGGGGTGAACGTTACCGTAGTGAAGCACCGCCGAGGCGTGCGGTCACCTCGCCATGCTGTTCCCACAAGATCTCCCTTTGACTCGAACATATAAACAGAGCACGTATGTACGGACACAGAGAGAGTGCCCGTACCAGTCGAGCACCGCTGTAGCTGCAGCATTGGCCTCGAACGCTTCCTCGAATAGGTGCAGGTAGGTACAAGACGTGTTGTCCGCCGGTGGTTCGGTCATGACGAGACTGTAAGACTAAAGGCAGCGGCAGCAACAGCAGCGGTGTGTCTGCCTCTTCTCGGGAAGGGGGGGACATTTACCAACCGGGAAAACTCTGATCGCTGGTGCCTTTTCCCGTCAGTCTTCTCCCGCGGGCCACACCCACACGCACACATAACCTGCTGGACGCCCTCTTGCATGCTCCTTATTCTCTATCTCTCTCTCTGCCTCTCTCCGACACTTACAAGATGGTAAGTATCTACACAGCCTTGGGTTGTGTGTGCGGCAGGAACATCGTCGCCTGTACATGCTGGAAAAACTCAAGCAACCCCTCCCCACAAAACAAGATGATTTCTGCAATTGATTCCCCCAATGATCTCACCTGCACCTTGAGGATGACGTCCGGTTCTCCTGCCTCTAGCTCTCACAGGTGCCCAGCGCGGTGATGCAGATTGCAGAGCAGCAGCAGAGAGCGTGTGAGCGCGCGCAGAGCTCCTTTTATGGTATGCACGCCGATATCTTAACGAAAACCACTTCTTCGCTGACCCAGATCATGACGTCATCTCGGTTGGCTCTGCGCTGGCTTTCCTACGGGCTCATCATCCATCTCGACAACAAGACCTCCTCAACGCCGCCATTGATCATTACGTCACTTACCCTTCGACGAAGACATCCAACAGCGCGTACCGTCATGACTATCTCAGCGGGAAAGGGCTTGGTAGGGGGGTGCGTCCTGCTATACCTTGGAGGAACATCCGGTGAGGTTCGGATCGGCTTATTTGTTCCTCTCAAGAGAACAGCAGCAGTGAAAGGGGATGCACGCGTTGCAAGTTCTGCTGTCTCTGTGTCTGGCGTGTGCCGCTGCCCCCTTCAGGCACAGCGGACTGCGCCCGCGAAATAAAATCGGGAGCGCAGCTTGTACATTCAGCGGTACGCTTGGTTGTGAAGTCTCACTACTTTCCACCACCCTGATAGTGGGCTCTCGTGGAACATTCGGGTGCTGACCATCACCCCCAGAACAGCATGGCCGGCGGAATAGTCCATGCGGAGTCAGCAGTGAGCAAAGCATGAGCACGTTTTGCCTGACACCATCTTGTTTGCCATGATTTGCATGGATGGCCACTGTGCCGCCTTTGCTCTTGATGACAAGGTCATGTCTACGACTTTGACGGTTCTGACGCAACGCAGCACCCGCTAGATTAAAGAAACCACTGATACACAGCAAAAATGTTCCTGACAGAACGGAGTCATCGCTGTGCCTACGTACTAGGTTCAACTACACCTTTCTTCGTTCCCCTGGCTACATTATGTGTCCAAGTCAAAACCGTGTCCCGTTGAGATGACTTGCAATGGTTTTGGCGCACAGTCGGACAGCTGGGTGTGCCTTACGTACTCTGTGTGCTGCATTTGTTTCGCCTACATCGGCTCTGCTGTATTGTGTTCCGATACCAGTGTCGCTCTCATGATGACCGTCCGAAGTGGTTTGGCCCACATTGCGGCGGTATGTGTATCAAACAGAAGTTTTTTGTTTTTGTTTGTTTTGTTTTTCTCCCATCATTGGACTCTGTCGTCTGCCCCTCTGGCCCCTTTCCTCCACTTCTACCAGCTAGACGACCCAACCGGGGTCACATAGGAGGGCGGGGTTGGACCCCCTCCTGCGGTTCATGCCTGAGGTATTTTTATCGCGAGAAGGGTACAGCAATCCCCTCCCTCGCGACTTACGAAGTCGATTATGGTTTACGAACAAACGAGCTTTGCAGCGCATCGCTTTCATCCTAGACCAGGATTTATTTAGTGAGAAGAAAACCTCTCTCTGCCGGGACTCGAACCCATGACCTGGCCCTTAGCAGGCTGCGAGGCTACCCACTAGACCACCGGGGCGACCGTGGAAAGGGGTGGTAATTGTCCCTGTTGAACTTATTTGCCGTTTTCGAACACATCAAAATCGTTGCCTGCTTGCGCCTTCCGCTGCTCGGAAGGGAACATCGAAGCTACACCATCCCATTTAAGCATTCTGGTTATGCTTCGTTGTCGGCATGCATACGAACACTGACAGCAGCATCACGAGATCAGGCACACACTAACCATGCTATGGAGCAGAACAGGAAATAATCTCTTTCTGGAAACCGCACACACACCGGCACCAAAAGAAAGCTGCTGCTCTCTTGATTCCCCAGCCAAAATGAAATTTTCGCCGCCCTCCTTCCTCTGTTTGCCATCGGGGTTTGGTTTTCGTCGCTTGGGAACGACGTTGTAAAACAAGCCGCCCCCCTCGGTGTTTGCCATCGGGGTTGGGTTTTCGTCGCTTGGCAAAGACGTTGTAAAACAAGCCAATTCACTTCGTGAACTCGGCAACCAGGTTACCGGTTTTTTTTTTACCTCCGTTTTTTTTTTTGGCGGTAACCATAATGGTGGTCGAGTAGATCATGTTGTGCGGGGTGGAGAACCCTCGCTCCGCGCAAGGGGGATGATCGCACCACGTCGTGTTAAAATGGCCAAGCACCCTCGAGGCAGTTACACAGTGCGCACAACTATCTCTGGAAGCGAAAGCACCAGAAAATAAATTAATTCATACGCAGCTGTCATCCGTACGCAAGGAAGTAAGCACAAGATGCCGAA